GAATATTAAATAGAAAATAAATTTCAAATATATTGTTCAATCATATAATTTAATATCCTGTATTTTCTTCGATTCAACTTCACTAATCTAACTAACTCGAATCTATAATTTTACGCATAAAATGAGAAATAATTTTGTAATCATTAATGAAGAGTTTGAAATTTTTTAGAAATTAAATTATAAAAATATTTAAAATTCAAATTAAATTAAAGTAAAATTTGAAAAAAGTCCACTTACGATAAATAAAAATTATTCATTTTAAATACTACGCACAGAATTTGAAATTCTTGTTGCCTCATGAATTTAATAATAACTAATACATTAAATTAGATATAAAGATAAGCGATATCAAATAATTGGAGAATTTAGAATTTAAAAGTATAATGAATATATGAGTTTATAATTTTTTAGATGCGCGCTTAAACATTGAAATATACCAATTGCATTTTATTTAAGAGTATCGATAATAAATATATGTCTTGTGTGGTCAATTCTGACGAAAACTCAACCAAAATATTATATTCTCGATTAAGCGGTAAAATAATGCTTATCTTAATTTTGTTGTGAAAAATTATGTTTCACAATATATTTTTAAACTTTTGATATTATATCAGTTGTTAATAAACTATATATAAAATTTTAATTATTATCTGATACTTATCTGTACAATTGATTCTATTGTCTAATTTCTGGCGCATAAACTTGCACTAAATCGAACATTAAAATCGAAGATTTAATGAACAACAATTGATAATCGTTATAGCCTTGGTGAACGTTTCATTTTTAGTTTTCCTTTCTGTTTTTTAAATTAAAAAAATCTTTCAAACCACATAAAATTTATAATCTAACCTTCCTACTTTAATATTTCAATCTACTATAGTACATGAGCTAATCAGAGCGAAAGCATTGTTTTTGCAAAATCTTATCTACTTCCGTATGACTGGCTATCAAAGTATCCAGATGAATGATTTTATCAAACACGACAGTTTCAAGATATCTATCCACTATTCTCATTCATCTATTATTCGTCTCTTAGCATTAAATTAAAAAAAAAAAAAAAAAAACAATAGAAAAAAAAAAATAAAAAAAAAAGAAAAAACAATGGGGAGTATAATCTGCGCAAAGCCATAGCTGCAGCAACTACAATCTGACCGGTTTCTGTCAGTGATAAGATAAGGCAATAATTTACCTCACTCACTAGCACGATTAATTAATGTAAATAGCTCGTTAATTAGTCGAGCGATTCGTCTATCGTGTATTCCTAGTGCCCATACCACCCCTCCCCCTCCCCAAGCCTCTTGCCACTCTCTCTCTCTCTCTCTCTCTCTTGCCAAGATGGCAGGATTGTCTCTCTGGCAGCTTCCCCAGCTTTTTTTGCAAAAACTAGATTCTGCTAGTGAGCCATATGTCGTTCCTGAAGTGCGATAGGTCGATAGGTATGACCTCCGCAGCTACGAAAATTGTGTGCTTCGAGCTCGTACCATAAGAATGTACGATACAAGGTTTTCCTCCTCCCTGGAATGAAGCCATGCACTTACAGTATTTATTGTACTGCAGCGCATCGATCCAAACTTGAATATTACTCTTATAAGTATTCTTACCAGTTATAATTAATTAATGCTGATATATAAATCATAACTAGTTTTTCTATCTGGCTAATTCAAGCTAACGGCAAGCCAATGCCAATCCAACGCCAAGCCAACGCCAAGCCAACGCCAAGCCAACGCCAAGCCAACGTCAAGCCAGCTACATCCAGCAAACCATATATTGTAAAAAATCTTTTCATTTACAAATCCTCTGCGCACATAGATTTATCAATTACATTATTCAAATTCAGAAAAATTCACCATTAATTAAATGTATTGGATTCGTTAGGAATAATGGGAAGAATCTCTAATATCGTAAAGTAAACGTATATAAATGAATTTACTATAATGAAATATGAAAGGACAATAATTCAAATCCTGTAGACAGTGGCAGCTTCGAAAGAAAAAAATTTCGTTTTTAATTTCGTTGTATAGACGGGATAAAAGAATCTCACGTCCTAGCAGTTAGATAGGGAAAAAGTCGAGCTGAACGCCAGATGCGAAGAACGTGAAACATAACCGGACGAAATGAGCGAAACGTGCTAAGCGACAGCGTCCACGCTTTCAATTATTTATGTCCTCGACATTTTCTCAGTCCCTTCGTCTCTCTTACGCTCTTTCCATGCATAAATATATTCCCGCGCGCGCACACAAACACACACACACACACACACACACACACACACACATATATATATATATATATTCATATATTTGTGTATTCATCTGCTTATCCATATCTATCCAAGTAAATAAGCATTAATATGTCATCTATCATTAGATTTAACTATTTATTAATCTTATTTATATATATGATAATTTATATATCTACGCGTTCGTCCAGATATCCATACGTCCATCCTTCTATCCAATTATCCATATATTCACTCATTGATTAATCTATCTATTTTCTCTGTATACGCACCTCCTCCTATATCTATCTATACTTATTATATCTATCAAACGATCTATCTATCTCTCGCTATGATCTACGCGACAAATAGATTGAATTTTCAACAGTGATAAAAATACGGTTGTCAATATTGTTAGGGATCGGCTACCGGACGGTTCGTGTCGAGAGGATCAAATTTATCGCTTTCACTCACCAAGGAAATGAATGAGAAACAAAATCCGTGCCATACAAACCTAAAATTCTAGACCCGGAATTTTAAATTCGTTCGAGCACAATTATCAATGGAATTTGCTTTCTTAATTATTTCAACTCAACCATATCGTAATTTATTAGTAAATTAATTATACTTATAAATTTAATCTTACCGAAGAACTAAACAGTCAAATTTATTTCACTCCATATATTTAAAGAAGATGTTGCAAAGCTGCACTTTTCACAGAAATAAAAGATATAAAATACACTTTAATCAGAATTTTATGTTATTATTATGACATAACATTAATTTTGCGTAATAATCAGTGTGCAATTACAGTATTATAATAAGCTTAACTGTATAGCGTAGGATCCAGCATTCCATCCAGAATTCCAATTTACTAATTATAAAGTGTAAATTAACGTTTCTATAAAAATTAATTTCAATATATCTAACTTATTATTATCTATCTTATTATCGTTATCATTATCATTGTCATTATTATTACTACTGCTACTACTATTACTACTACTACTACTACTACTACTACTACTACTACTACTACTACTACTACCACTACTATTATTATTATTATTATTATTATTATCATTAATAAACTAATAAATATAACTATCAGATTGAAAATGATTGTAAGAAATAAATATATCGTAAGAGAGATAGCCGCAGCAAGGTATATATAAAATATGAACCAATTATTCCAGATAAAATTGTAGATTATAAACATTAATTTGTCATAAAAATATTTATCAGCGTCAAAAAGTCTCAAAGCAAAAATAACTGAAAGACGGTTAAACGACCACCGAGTGCCGAGTATGACAAGATACAAAGGACGAAACGAATCGACAGACAACAGAGAAAGAGGATAAAGTTACGAGAATTGACGCTTCTTAGTAATGTCATGGCATCGAGCTCGTACTTGATATGTTAATTAGCCGTATTGTTGCCAGGAGGCATGAAGAGAAATGGCCTCCGAGTCACGCCCGTTAACGAGGAAAATTTCCAATTAAACCGCCATAGAAATTCACTGGCTCGGCTCTCACGGCTCATGATGCCCTTAGCCGACCCCGTAGTCTCGCTTTCCCCGCCCACGCCGACCTACGAGAACGACTCGTCGTCGGTAGAAAACAATCTCGCGCTTTCGGCGTACCCTGATGACGATGCCTTAGTCGCGGAATAGTGACGTAGTACGTCTAAAGGAATTTCAGGACGAGGCCTTTTGTGGAAGCCACGGTTCCACTAGCGCTATCGTCGACACTTTTATTGGCTGATGGAGACGCCGCTTGGATCGCGTGGACTGAGTATGCAAAAGTATTTAAAACCGAGGTGGAAATGGAATATGAACCACCAAGGCAGGATAATAATAGTCTGCCCTTAATTTCGTAAATCCAAGCGAAGCTCGTAAATGAAAAAATTCTTAAAACTCTCCACATGCATACCTCGTTAGTTTTTACTTTATTTTAAAAGTTTGAAATTGATGAGAGACTATTAAATGAAAATATTTGAAAAGGCTTCTTGTACAATTGAGATTATTTAAATATCGATCGTGTCATAATGAAATAAAAAAGTTTCAGACTTCGGTGATAAATAATAAACAATCATCTATATAGTTTTTACATTTGATAAAATCATTAATGTCTTGTTGGATTCCGTTACGACATTATCTATTATATGATATCATTATATGCAATTTATAGAAGTCATTCAACAAATCCATTGAAATAAAATAAATTCGTATTTACCTTAATTACATAATACACACATGGATATTTCTGTGATATGATTCAACAAAATATAAATTTATACATTATACTTACTAATAAATAATATATATATATATATATATATATACATACATATATAGAGTGAGAGAGAGTGAGAGAGTGAGAGAGAGAGAGAGAGAGAGAGAGGGAGAGAGTGAAAAATAAGATCGTTGGGCATAGTATGTCGAATATACTTGTCATTAAATAACTCCAAGAAAATTTTATCATTTCATTGCAGAAGTATGATCGACTCCCAGTTTGAGAGATCGAATAATAATAATAATAATAGCAAAACTGCATCTATAAATAGCAGAAGAAAATATTTAGTCTTAAGTATTACATACTTAGATAATTAATTTTATTCGTTTGTCCATATTTTACTTTTCATAACTGTAAAATTTTTATCCTTCCATTTATCATATCTATCGCTTATTAAATTTAACGCGATCTATCAATTATTTTCCTAGATATGCGCAAATACACGCTCGAAGACACCTCGCTGATATTTTTTCTCGATTATTTTGCAGATGCGAGGGCGGCTGGCTGCAGTTCGAAGGCGGAGCCAGGATTTGCGGACGTAATTCCAGGCTGCAGCAGCCTATTGTACTTTTCTCCGACAAGCCCGAACCCGTTTTGCACATGCAGTAAGTCCGTTAAAAAGCCACTGTATCTGAATTAATTTCTCTCTCTCTCTCTTTCTCTCTCTCTCTCTCTCTCTCTCTCTCTCTCTCTCTCTCGTTAGGTCTCTTGGATCGATGCGAAAAAATCCTATTCCAATACATTTGAATATAATGCAATTTTGTTCTATGTGGTTTTCTTTGTTTGAAAAAGAGCTTTTCAGGAGGTATACATGAAGCTTCACTTTGTCGAGATTAATAAATGTTCGGGGATCGTTATTGCCTGACTAATTCTTTAAATAATTTAATTATAAAATTTATGACGTATATATCGACTTTGTAAATGTAAATATTGATTTAGCGTTAATTTAATTCATTGGTTTAATGATTAATACCATTTTTAATGTAACATAATAAAAATATATATATATATATTATAAGCATCATAATATTTTTGATGTGAAGCATATTTTTATCGTGTAAAAATGATTATGCGAACATTTTTCTTCTTCTAAATTTAAAGACGTAAATTTTTTGATTTTTTTTTCCAATTTCTCGAACGAGAATTCTACATAATAAAAGGGACGATTCAATCTTCACAATATCATGTAAACTAAAATACAATTAGTCCATAATGATAAGAGTAAATTCAATGAATCAATATATCCGAGGATTTTTTGTATAATTAGTGGAATATCAGTTATTCGAATGAAATTGAGATAATTATTGATATTATGAGATAAGAATACAGATAATTGGCGTAAATTAATTAATTATATTGATGGTTATATATTTAAAGTTAAATGATCGTACACGCATAAGTGTCACAAGTTGAAAATAATAAGAATAATTTATTCAAAACCCTTTAATTTAATAGATAAATTGTATTGGTTAGTAAAAGTTTTTAACAACACCGGTTCAAATTATTATCTAGTTCGTCTAAAACTTTGAGATATGTGCGCGCGTGGGCGCGCGCGCGCGTGTGTGTGTGTGCGTTTATACGATAAAACGAAGAAGAATAATCAAATTAAGTAATTACTTAAGTGGTTTCGATCATACCATTCGTCAAGTTGGTCAACTATACTTGTTCTCCGGCTTTCGTTATTTTATTTATTATTTATGTTACTTTTATACACTGCTTACATGTCCATCTTCACAACTATGAAATATAATATGATTTCCATAAGCTCTTCAATTAAAAAATTATAATATTTTTAATGTTAAATGTTTCTTTAGTTTTTGTTTTATTTAATATTTAAGAAAACAATGTAATTTCTCGCTTAAGAAGATATGCGGATAAAATTTTCCAAAATGTTTGCACTTTTCTACGTATTTCAATGTTTTCCCATATTTTGTTATGAAAGTTTTGTAATTGTAAAATATTATCGATAATGTTTTATCTATTTTCACCTATATAGGGAAACATTATTATTAGAATTTATTATTACTGGTGTTGGATACAAGTGTAAAATACCTTTAAAATGTATGAAGTAATTACTCTTTCAACTAATTATTAAAATTAAAAATATATTTCATGAAATCTATTACCAACTAACCGAACGAACGAAGTAAATTAAAAACTTGAATACGATATTTATTGTGAATAAAATTTGTAAAACTTCTTATATATGTATTTACTTTACGTACAGAATTTATATTAAAATTAAATTTATCGCTAATCGCGGATCCGCTACGGTTTTATCACCTTAACTTTCTCGCGTAGCTCCTGCGGATAATTGTAGCGAGTATCCTGGGAATAGTCGCTCTCAGACATGATTCCACCTCTCCTTGGGGCTGTGATGCTGGATTTGGCGCTACGCTGGCCAAGATGTCGACTCAGCCTCTGGATGCTGCCGTACTCGCGTAGAAAAATGAGATCGATCGATCTCAGCTGCGCCAAGTCGATGAATTTTCATCGATGGCTCGTTGGTCGAACGTCGAATATTCGTTATTATCACCAAGACATGGGAGAAGAGGACGCTATGTCACAAGGGGATGACGCTTATCTAGGAAAAGCATGTTTATCGCGTGGCTGAAAAAATCTTGCCAACCGTACACCAATGCAACTTATTTTCTTTTAGGGCACTGGCGGTGACTCGGACGCGTTAACAATCATCCCTCGTCCTCTCGGCGACGAAAATCCTAGCAATCTTCAATAAACTTCTCCAACTTCTCATTTTTCAAGCCAAAGAAATTTTAATACTTACCGCACGTCCTCAACAAGTTCTGGATAAACGATGCCAGCTGCTCCATTGCTGCATTCTGGCTTCTCGTCCAAGTTCGCAGTTTATCCGCAGTGCTGCCAAGCTAAGAAGTTGATTCGGTGATATTCAAAGTCCGGTTAACGGGCTCCTTTGTAATTTCCAAATACCTCTTCTCCTCTCGCCCCAAAAAAAGAATGGATTTCCCTCGGTATAATTCCTCGTTTGATGAGGTGTCGAGATACTTAGCTCTTTAACATCGACTAAAATCGATGTCAAAAGCAGATATGCATCGATTGTACTCGATAATGACATATTCAATGGCCTCCAGATGGTGAGAAGAATACGGGCGAAGAAACTTTTTATTTCTTTGACAATTGAGGTCACGTGCCTTCAAAAGGAAGCCCTTTCTCCCATTATCATATAGTTTAAAGTAATTAGGATGCTCCAACAGTGACTTGTTGTTGTATTACTTTCATTTTCCATCTCCCTCTACCTGTTGTACATACACCCACCTATGTGCTACATACCAAGTAAGATTGAAGTATCTCGTTAGAATACGAATATCTTATTTGCAATAAAATAAAAAATTGTACGTTTAAAATAATTTTAATTCGATACTTTACGAGTGAAAATATTTAAGAAAAAAACTCGTGCAATAAAATGAAATCGCTTAAAGATCGCAGCATTTAATCTCTCAATCTGCAAAATTGTGTTATTGCGCTTTCATTTTCTTCCTTTCATTAATCGGCGTTTCAATAATTTCATATATAACTATGAATAATGTAAATCCGAACGAATAAATATTTAATACAAACTTACCTGGTATTCTCGATTAAATCACAGGTTATAATTTCTATTTATCGATTTCCTTTGAATTATATCTCCATTTGATTATAATTGCTAGATAATTCGATTAAAACAAATAGTATTCCTAAATTTAATTTAATCCAATCTTGCAGTATTAAACTTACTCTTTACTTTTCCTTCTTCCTTATCCTTCATACATTTCTTGCGCCTTCTTTTTTCGTTTTTCTCTCTGCTTCGGCTCCACATTTTTTCCGCATCGATCTTCGTCTCTGTTAAAATTTCTTTATTTGATCATCGGCAAGAACCGAGTTCTCGGCGGCTCATTTACATTCTTATTAAATTGCCCCGTTAAAATTATAAGGAAATCTCGACTCGGAGTGGCTTGCTTATTCCTCCGTGTCCATCTTTTTTCGATTTCTAGTCGTCTTCTTTACTAATGTCTCTATTTCTTTACATCAGTCCTTCTCGTACATTCCATACAATATATGATATTCACTGTCGCACTTTATATTCAATTAAAATAATATATACGTACGTTTAAACCAAATCAACTATTACCGAGTTTTAAAAAAGAAATATAAATTAAATTGAAAAATATATACCTTACAAGGGAGAAATAATCATTGTAACTTTTAATGTTAAGTACATACACGAAATTACATTCGTAATATATCAGATAAATATATTTCAAAATAAAACACTATAAAACTGCTGAAACAGCATCCGATCTGTCAAACAATGAAAAAACTATGACTATGACAAGATAGCAGTCGATTTCATAAAACGCGAGGTTCATCAAGAGATTGCTGAGGCAGCATTCACTTCCTCTGCGATAGTCGTAATGGAAGTCAAATGAGTTATTTGAATATGGACGATATAAGTGGTCATCCCGTGAGATTTTGATTGAAATACTTTAACAGCAAACTTTAACGACGATACTTTCCAACGCAATGCGATATTATGATTAACTATTATATAAGTTTACGTAAATTTTCGTAACAAAAATGAGCGTAATTATGTTGCTTAAATAATTTCAATAAGAAGTTATCATATTTTAGATAATTTTATAATAGAAATATTATACTTAAAAAAAAAAATTAAAAAAAAAGACAAAGGTCCTTTGATATTTTATGACATAGAAACGATATTTATCCCTTTTGCGTACTATAAAAAGAAAGATAACGATATGTTAAAAAATTAGCTATTATTATACTTTTAAAGCAGATACTTTTAAAGCATATGACATATAAAATGAATAATTCTTAAAAAATATGCTATTATTATACTTTTAAAGCAGATACTTTTAAAGCATATGACATATAAAATGAATAATTCTTAAAAAATATAAGAACTTTTTTTTTTTTTTTTTTTTTTTTTTTTTTTTTTTAACTAATTAATTATTTTCTTATGTTAATTCATATAATGGTCTTTATAGTTAATACGATTAATATCAAATTTTAATTTAAACTTCAGTAAATTTTTTTATGTCGATTTATATATAATGTTCCTATACTTGTTACAAAATAACATGAAAGAATCAAAATTATGCACAAACTTTATCGCATAATACTTGAAAAGTTTATTATTATCGACTAACATTCATTGATTTTGATTATAAACTTTTGCCGTAGATTTATTAATGAATTAATATTTTAAACTTACCCAAGCTTATTTTTAATAAAAGCCTATGGTTATGCATAGTTACCTTGGAACTGTGGATAATACTTTGCAGTGCTTTTAATGTTTTAACGAAAATTCATTTATTCATATTTAATTAGTTTATATAATTGTAATCATTTGTATAAATAATTAATTCAGAGTAATATTAACTATAACTTTTTATTCATTATTTATAGCTACTAGCTTTATTCGAAAAATATTTTAAGCCGCTTTCGCTGTTAATACGCAAGATAAAACTAGTTTCTTCATAGTAATAATTCAAATCTTAGTTCCTGTAATCATTAGATTGCTTTTTATTTTACTTTACTGCCCCTAACAATCATTCCATTATAGTTG